CTAAGAATCTTACTGAATGGTACATCAAAGACAGCCCAATCCGACATCTAGTGTAGTATCATAATCGAGTCTAGGGGTTAGGTGTAACTTTCTAGTTTTGCCCATCTATCTCCAAGGTCCAGGGCAATACTAAAAATCTGGTCCAGTTCAAAGGTTATATTAATCCTACACTGTATGTGCCTAGGGTCTCAACCTGGTAGCTGAGACAGGCCACCCCAACCGACTTGGTGGCACCACAGTGTCAGCCTTGTCATGATAGGTCTCCCCAGATCGATCCACTGGCTGTGAACGTTCTAAACTAACATGAGTCTCATTAAGTGTCCAGTTTAAGGGTATTACACAGAAACATACCAAGGGAACATGAATCAAATATACACTTTTATTCATTTACAATAAACTCATAAGGTACATCATTCTGATTGAAGCTAAGGGCATACAAAATTGTCTAACACAAAATTTCTGATCACTCTTGTTGATGGCTTATGGAACCCATTCACACAAACTGCATCTACTGGTTTGTATATGTTCACTCACAGGTCACATCTTATCCTTGTAGAAGGTGAACCATGTTTGGCAAGACCCCCAGCAACAGCTGAGCTTTGGGCAGTGATTAGAGGACTAAGAAAGTTTTTTTCTATGGATGTAAAGGCAGGTTTTATGTTTTCAGATGCTAAAGTAGTGTTAGCAAAGCTCAAAGGGACAAGCAGCCGGATATAGTAGGACCATCAAGCTTTCTACGACCATATTTTGGAACTTTTATCTCTTTTTGATAATATAAAAATCATGTGTGTAAGTAGGGATGTTATTTCGCCATCCCATGAAATGGCAAGGAGAGCTAGGCATATGAACTCTTTTGTAAATAGCTATGCCAGCTCGGTAAACCTCACCAATGTTTTTGAGAAACCATGTAAAGGGATCCAAATGTTCCCTTAACTTTCTGTTAAATGAATTTCTAGTTTTTCCTTGCAAAAAAAAAGACAATAATAACTAATATCCTTAACTCTAATGAATCATGGTACAATGTGTGTGGCAATTGCAACAAAAAGGTTGATATAACAAAAAGAGGAACATATTATGACAAATGTAAAGAAAATGATATCTAGTATTATGAGAAGTATGTGATAAATTAAAATAAATAATTTAATAAATTAAGTATGTGATAAATTAAAATAAATAATTTAATAAATTATGTCAAAATAATATTATTAACAATCCAATAATATCGAATAGATATAAACATATCAGATGACATTAGGAAAGGTACTGTCACATTATGGGCAAATTTGTTAAACTACCCCTACTATTTAGCTAAATGACAAACTGTACCCTTATTGTTTAACTATTGTCTTAGACTACCCTTATTGTTTTTGACAATTGACTAGCTCTACCCCTGTTGTTAGTGTCCATTAATATTCTGTCAAAATCCGTACACATGTGACACCACGTGACCTATAAATTATTTTTAAAACCAAATACTACCCTCCATCCCTCTTCTCTTCACTTTCTTGTTCCTTCTTTTCTTTGATTCAATTGCAACCGATGCAAGGGCAGTTCTGACATGAATGACACCACTGATAGAGACACCAATAGAGACACCACCATTAGAAGGAACCAATGTGGTGATCTTAGTAATGTCCTTCCCTAGTAGATTCTCTCTCTCACTGAAAATAGAGCATTCTCTCGCCAACTAGAAGACAAACAAAATTTTATGTACTAGATCTAAGAGGGTTATCTCTGTGCTAGACGACTGAGATTTTTCCATAGTGGACAGCTCTATTCCAGATGACCGAGTGAGGGAAAGAGAGGGAGATAAGGATAATCCAGAATGCGGCAGATTAGAATATGATGCATCATCGACTAGAATAACAATCTAGAATATGATCAAGGATACCGATTTCATTTTGGCTAGATGTTGTTCTCTTGAAAGAGATAATGATATGCAATGACAACTATTCTTGCAGTGACACCATAGTTGGAGGATATTTCCATTTGTTGGCTACTATACTTCACCAGACCTCTTCTTCCTACTTTGAGACTGGGAATAGGGTTTCGGCTACTTTTTTTTTGTGACATAGTTGTCTATGCTTATGGAGAGAGATTGAGGATACTGTTCTTCATCGGACCTCTTCTTCCTACTTTGAGACTAGGAACAGGGTTTCAACTATTACTTTTTGGCGACAAAGTTGTATGTGCTTATGGTCAGAGACCGGGAACAGGGTTTCTAATGGCGACCTCTTCTTTTTCCTCTATTTTTTGATGCCAAAATCACTATTGCCACTGCAACTTCTGGCAACGGCAATAATCTTCTTCCTCCGCCCCTTTCCTCTCTTCGTTCTCCCTCTCCACCTCCCCTCTTTGCATATCAGGAGTTCATCAGAAAACCAGCCCAACTTAGATAACCCTTTTCGTATCTCAGGAAACTAGACTCCCCATTTTTCTTCTCTTTGACCCATTTTGCTAATGACCTCAACATCACGTTTGAACGTGACATCGTGAACCTTGATTTATTTGACCCAGCTTATTGGTCGCTGGCTCAGCTTCATGTGTTAGATAACGAGGCAGATGTAGTGAACCTTCTCGTCGGCACACCGATTATGTCTTCCCCGCCCCCCCACTTTGTGAAGTAACTTTTGCTGAAAATTGTCGTCTCTATGGACCGAGGCTGGAACCACAGTGACCTTCCCTTCTTGTACCATTTCTCAAAAGCTTTGCTTTACTCACGATAACATTAGGTCTTAGAAATGGAATAGGCCTGATGAGAAGAGCCCTCCATCGTTATCGCTACAACTTATAATATCCTTACTTGAGGCCGCTGAGAAGAGATCATCGAGAATGGAATCATGTTCATCGAATAGAGAATAAGAGCAAAATGGACATTTCATCCTTTCTGTTACGATTTAACGATAATGACAATTGTCATAAACAGTAAGGGTAGTCTAAGACAATAGATAAACAGTAAGGGTACATTTTGTTAATTAGCTAAATAGTAGGGTAGTTTAAGAAATTTGCCCTCACATTATTTGAAGAATCTGCTGAGATAATTGGGTGTTTAGTATTAGATTTTGTAAAGCTCCAAAGATAGGAAAAAATTTTATTATTAATCATTACTACTAACAAAATTCATATCATATTACAGGGAAAAAAGTGAAAAGAAGGAAAAATATACTTCTTCATCATACAAGTTGATAAAAAAGGATGCATGGGTCATAGCTCTGGCAAATTTGTAGCAACTAACATGATTGAAGTAGATAGTTCTACAACAACATGGATAAAAGATGTCGACTCATTCAAGGACAAAAGAATGAAAAAAAAAATCAAGATTGAAAAACAATGGAGAAGATTAACAACCTTTAAAAGTGAAGCAGTATTGAAAATAAGTCAAGAAAGAAGTTATCTCAGAAGACATTACAATTATTTTCTTTTCAGTTATATGCAATTCCTACGGCATTATGTAACTACAACTACAAGCATTTTAACTTTATTTTTATTCATATTGTTACATTTCTTAATTTTCAAATTCTATCTTAAATATGATATATCTAAAATTCAATAAATTAATATCGAGAAAATTCCTTTACATTTAATGCATATGCTTAATTACTAGTGTAAATTAAAAGACTTGAGCCCTAATAATTTGATTTAAAAATTTAGGACTTATCATCAATATACATCATGTTTAAGTATATTAAAAGTTGTAAAATGTATTATATATGATATTTATATGACCTCTAGTATATATATATATATATATATATATATATACATCATAACGCTTTGACCTTTGGTTCGACCCTGATTGAACCTCTGGCCTATTAACCTCTCCCCTCTCTGATCCTGATCTGGTTCTCAAAATATTGGAAACAACTTAACAAATTAACTGGTATCATAAAAAAGATGCCCAAGATGCCCAAGGGTAAAGGTACAAATTGAGTTGGCCCATTGAAAATTTGACAAAATCCCAACCCTAACCCCTAAAAATTGCACCCCGAGGGGTTATTCATCAAAATTTAGAAGAATGTTTTTATTGATCAAAACTCTTCGGATATGTTATCAGAGCGCTTCGAGTGCCATTTCTTTCCGTTATCATAGCTCTTTGTATAGCACGCCTTTCTCGTTATCGTAGACTTTCCAAAAAAATATGATCTTTTAATATCTTTTTCATGAATCAAATGAATTCTCAGGCTGTGTTTGGTTTGAAAGAAAATTTAAGAAAAAGAAAAAAAATCGTACTCCATTTCTATTGTGGGACAAACAGGTCCTTTGGCTATTCCGTAAGCCCAATTTGAGAGAGAGAGAGTGATAAGTGATAACTACCAATAAAGTAATAATGAACAAAAGCCAAATCATGTAGGTTCATGAATAAAAAAACAAAAGAATCATGTAGCCCATGCATAAAAAAATGAAATGTAGGCCCATGAACGTCGATCAGTCTAAGATTTAGATTCCTTTTTATTGTAATCAGACAATCCCTGATGACGAGATCCTTTCCACTTTCGACAAAAAGATGATGAAATAAAACCATTTCAACTTTTTTTGTAAACAGTACATTGTACTGCACAACGTTTTAACGTTTTAAGGAAGCATCTCTCTACCTGACTCTATTCTCATTATGTGGTGTCTGCTGACTTTGCTCTAGTCGTTGCATTCAACGTTCCTTGCAGCCAGCTCAACTCAGCCGCCCTCTTCTTCTTCTTCTCCTACTACTTCCCCCCTTCCCTTCTCTCTCTCTCCCTCCTCTGCCGATCGGAAGGAATATCGGAACTGAGAATCAGTCCGGTCAATCCCCCCTTTCTTTCTTTCTTCCTTTTCCCTCCCCTCCCCTTCCCCTCTTCTTCTAGTTTCTTTTCATCCGGCCACCCGCCACCCAACTTCACTGAACACCACCTGATATTGCAGTACCATCACTGCTTTTGGCAGCTGCACCTCCGTACAGCAAACTCGCCGCCACCATCTCTTATCTCCTACTTTCTCTCTCCTTGTCTCTCTCAGTGTCCTCCCATCGGCGCCGTCATTGATAACAGCGGCTGCCTCAGACAACGATCTCGAATCTCGATCATCGTCCTCGTCAATCAGTCGTTGCCAGCACACTCATCGAACCCAATTCACTGCGTGGGCTGGGAAATCACAACCGGGGCGCGTAACCGCGTTCTCTTAACCCAACCACAGCAGATAGGGTTTCCCATCTTGCAGCATCAAACCCATAGTTTCTGCTGCGTTTTCGTGCAGTTAAAAGATGGGGTTCGACAAGGAAGCGAGTTCGTCTTCTTATCGCCTTCGGCCACTGGCCAGAGAAGACACACCACTTATCGGAAAGCCCCAACCTCTGTCATCGAAACCTAAGACCTTTGCCAACGTTTTCATCGCCATCGTTGGAGCCGGCGTCCTTGGTCTGCCTTACACCTTCATGAAAACCGGGTGGGTCTTCGGCATCCTCATGATTGCCACCATTGCTTTCCTTACCTATCACTGTATGATGCTTCTTGTGTACACCCGCCGGAAACTGGAGTCTCTTCAGGGCTTTTCCAAGATCAACTCTTTTGGCGATCTCGGCTTCACGGTCTGCGGCCCAATTGGGCGATTCGCTGTTGACGCCATGATTGTCCTCTCCCAAGCAGGGTTCTGCGTCAGCTACCTCATCTTCATTGCCAACACCTTGGCCTATGTTTTCAATTCGGCCACCGCCACCAATTTCGACCCACGCATATTGGGGTTTAAGCCCAAGGTTTTTTACATCTGGGGGTGCTTGCCTTTCCAATTAGGGTTGAACTCGATTTCTTCATTGACCCATCTCGCCCCTTTGAGCATTTTTGCTGATGTCGTCGATCTTGGAGCGATGGGTATTGTTATGGTGGAAGACGTATTTATCTTTCTAAAACAAAGGCCTGCTTTGGAGAGTTTTGGGGGTCTTTCTGTCTTCTTCTACGGCCTGGGCGTCGCTATTTATGCATTTGAAGGGATCGGAATGGTTCTGCCACTGGAAACAGAGACTAAAGACAAGGAAAAATTTGGGAAGATTTTGGGCCTTTCCATGGCGTTTATCACGTTGATGTATGGAGCATTTGGAGCTCTGGGTTACTTTGCTTTTGGAGAAGATACGAAAGATATAATCACAACCAACCTTGGGAAAGGGCTAGTGAGCAGCTTGGTTCAGTTGGGTTTGTGTGTGAATCTGTTCTTCACGTTTCCTTTGATGATGAACCCAGTCTATGAGATAGTTGAAAGGAGGCTTTGTGAAGGAAGGTATTGCATGTGGTTAAGGTGGGTTGTGGTTTTGGGTGTGACCTTGGCTGCCTTGCTTGTGCCTAATTTTGCTGATTTTCTGTCTTTGGTCGGTAGTAGTGTGTGCTGTGCGTTAGGATTTGTGTTGCCTGCTCTCTTTCACTTGTTAGTATTCAAGGATGAGGTGGGATGGAAAGGACTAGTTTTGGACATTGTGATTGTGGTTTTGGGGATCATTTTTGGCATCTCCGGAACCTGGTCTTCCCTAATGGCGATTTTGGCTCCCAAGGTTTGAGTTTTGGCCACTTCGAGGAGAAGCAATGAATCTGTGTAATATGTGATCGTGATTGTATTACATTATATTATTGATACAAACAACAGGGTGTTTGTATGCTTGGTTTGATTTGTATTTAGTCTTAAATAATTTGAATTTTATATCTTTACGAGTCATTGTCAGAAGATAATATTAAATTAGAGCATGGCTCATCAATAGAATTAAATAATTGCATGGTTCATTGAATGAATTGTATGGAACTATGGATTTAGATTACTTGTTACTTAAAATTGTTTATTAATAGTTAATCCTATTTTGCTCAAAAACTAATTGATGAGCATCTAACCCTTTGTTTGATGAGCATCTATCCCTTGATGATGTAGTGTGGAAAGCAGGTTCTATTTTTGCAATTCTACTTTCCTAACTCCAGTATAAAGTGAAGATAGAAATTTGGAGACTCTTTTTAAGCTCTAAACTACTTATTAGAGCTTCATAGACATGTCTCAATGGCTCAATCTTCTGGCATTTCAATTACCTAATGTTGTGCAAGCTTTTATTCAATGCAAGAATTGTTTTTTAATTTTCCCATGTGTACAAGTAGAATTTTAACAAAATAGTATATTTAACTTACAAATATTTACATGCAGAGGTTATTGTATCGATATGATTAGGAAGAGGTTTAAGTGGGTCCAACAGCAATGGTGATTTTTAGCTTGCCAGGTTCTTAGAAATGTTGACTTGGTCAAACATACCACAGACAACAGTGGATAGGTTTTGTAACCTCACCATATATATTTTATTTGATTAAGTTGAGCTGTCTGGTTGAGTCATTTGATCTGTGACCCAATGGCGAATTCCTAGTGGAGTCATTAGTCCTTTTCCCTCCTATTCCTGCTGGTTCTGCTTCACTTCACCAGGGGTCACTGATCAATAATACCCTTGGGCAGGAACTCTTGGAGGCTTAAACCCTCCAGTCTCAACTAATTGGCTTGGAGGCTTCAACATAGATCTCTGCATTTATTTCATCAGGCATTTCAGCAGGTCAAGTCACTGTTGCAAAAAACATCAGCAAGTTTCAACACAGGCTCTGCTCCCAGCTAGTCAGCTTCCCTGGCCAAAGATGATTCTGATATTCAAGTACACAAAAGTGATTTGTGGAGGTAGACACTGATAGAGATGAAAAAAAAATCACTGGAAAACAGGCCTGCAACCTGTTTTTAAGTTGGAGACTCCAAAGAAGTAGATAGCTTTTGTTTATTGATTTAGTTTTGAGGTTTATGTGCTTGAAATCAAAGTCTACCAGTATGCTCTTTAGAGTAAGGCAGAATTTCTTGTCGAGGTTCAACCGTGCAATTTTATGCTTTCTCTGGTCTATCACTGGAGATGTGGATCTAGGTCATTCATTTGGTTGGCCTGTAGTACCTTGTAGCCTCTCTGTGGAACACATGGATCTGCACAGACACTAAGCAATGATGCCTATCTGCTCCACGGATTCTTTTGAAGAATGAGTAATGCTGCAGGCTTCTCTATCTTTTATTATTTTCATTATTATTGACGTTTGAACTGTAATGGATTGCAATTTGCACTCATAATCTGTTCTATTGTGAGATGGCTATTGAAGAAGGTTCAAACTTATGGTTCTGCTTTGTGTGTTCTTGTATTTCAGTTTCCTTTTTTTTTTTTTTCCTGCATGCTTAATTGTATGCCATAGGGTCAAAATGCTATCATATTATTATGCGCTTCTATGTTCTTTTCCTATATCTTTTTATGCAACCTTTTGTATGTTACTTGAAACTTCATTAGCAATTTAATATTTCCTTGACATCTGGTAAGCACAAGAAATGAAAAGGCTGTTATTGTGTTCTATAACAACATTATGCTTATGTTATTACTATTGGCAATTGTCAGAGGTCTTAAAGCAGATCTAGTACTTAACTGATCAGGATAATGATAGCATTCTATCTTTGAAAGAGTTTTGTACTGCACTGTACTTGGGAAGACTGTCCTCTTAAGAATCTTGTCTCTTGAATGTTGTGTCTAATGGCTGTAGTGTTTCCAATAGGTTCAGAACAGGCTGCAAAAGTCTCAGCTTCTGGTCCCTTAAAAGATCCTCTGAGCCCTTGTGTTCTTCCTAGTAAGCACCCATAAATTTAGCTTTACCTGACCATGTGGTGGGTAGGGTCCAATTTTTTATCAGCAGTTGTTTTTGATATCCAAAGGAGATGATGCTTGCATCCTCGTCGGTTCATTGATAGAGAGTAGAGACTCCCCTGAATTTCCTCCCTGGCTCCCTTGGAGATCTCCAATGAGTCACCCTGATGTGAGTTTCTTGTCCTTTTGATTTATTTATTTGAGATACCATTTAGTGTTCTGTTGATTTTCCCCTCAAGTCTAACCGTGGTCCTAAGCTGTTGCATGCATTTTAACCATCATTTATATGTTAGAGCATTTATTGATTCTGTTTTGAGCTGTACTAGTTTGCTTTTAACTGCTTAGTGTTCCATAGATTGCCGAGACATTGTAAGCAAGTTGTATATTTCCTGCAATGGAGAAGGGTGGATTTTAAAACAGACTAGTTTCATCAATTCTCCTGGTTTGTCTGGTGTAGGGGGTGTTTTGACCAGCATGGAAGTAGATCATTTCTCCTGGTTTCATTTTTTTTTCTATAAAAGGTAGCAATTTCAATTTCAAGAAGTGGACCCTTTCCTATCACATCTAGAACGACTTGATTTTTTTTTTTAATTATCTTTGTGCTCCCTGTTAGATTATTTCTGGTGACCATGCTTGCTTTTTGCAGATTCCTGGCTCCTCCATGAAATTGATACCCACACTTACCTGAATTAGGTTAACAGTCGTCCTTAACCCTCATAGCCCCCTCTCGTATGCATCTATTGTTTTGGAAGCCAAAAAAAACGTCCTGCTTTTGCTCTTGAAGACTTTATCTATTACTGGCATATAATCCTGGGTGTAGAGGGGTAACCAAGGTTTTTAAAACTGATTTGGACAATGAACCGGTCAGGGTTTGGTTCCCGGGTCAAATGGTTCGACTGTTTGAACCGAATGGATGGTCCGTTCTGACAAAAAAATAATCAAATTTTAAAAAATAAAAACCGGTCAAACCGGTGAACAGTTCAAATGGGTCAAATGCCTAGATCAGCGGTTTGCTGACCAAATCAACGGTTTTGGGGGAAATAATATTTCTGGGGTAAAACGGAGCCGGTCACCTGGCCAGTTTTCAGTTTTTCCGGTCCGACCATACCGTCTGGTCCAGTTTTGAAAACCATGGTAGCAACTGTTATGAAGGTTCTTTTTGGATTTTTATTTATTTAGTTTTTTAAATTCACTCTTTTCTGATTGATATTTTTTGACTCAAAAAATAAACTGCACTTGGCATGGACCCACACTATAAATCAAATTATGGCATCAATTTCCTATGTACTTCCATGCAAGTGTCCAAGTCACTTGGTTGCAGAATAAGTCTTTTTGATTGTTTTTTTAGATGATGTTCAATCTTAATTCATTTGAGGCACAAGGAAAATTCTTTCTTTTGACTCCGGTGTCTTTGGTTTAATCAAACTGCTAAAACAAAGTCCCCTCAGCATATAGTTTAGTTAATTGATCATAACTCTACCTCTACTATTTCCATATTGTCTTAAATCACTTTTAAGTTTTCTGGTAATTGTCTAAAATCTTCCTTACTATTAATTTTTTGTAATATTGTTCACATGTGACATCATGAAAATTCTTAAAATACTCTTTTCAATTTGATGGTCAGTCTGATGATATGATAGTGATGGATCGAAGACATTGGCTTTGAGATTGTTTAGGGAAGAGGGAGGGTTTTGGGACATCCATGGTAGATACATTCATCCTCAAATCTTGGGCTTCTCAAATCTAGTTAGCACATGTTCGGATAAATACAAATGCGGCATCGGAAAAATGCGGAGGTTAGGAAGGGAAAGAGATCCGAGAAGGGCTTCGGTGGCGGCATATGTCTCCTGCTGATTCCTTTGAAAAAACTAGTGTCATGGGGATTGAAGGTAGACTTCGGATTCATCTCTTACATGGAGCAGATAAATGGAAGAGGAGGAGGAACGAAATTGTGTTCATTGAGCAGAGAACGCCTCGTTGAACTCCCATTGAGCAGGGAACCGTAGGAATTGCCTCATGAACACCCCCTACCCCCTCTTCCCTCTCCCTCTCGTTCTCTTCCATGATGCCATAGGGGAACTGTCGGAACTGCCTCATTGAACTCCCCCTCTTTCCTCTACCTCTCGTTCTCTTCCATGATGCCACAGGGGAATTGTCGAAACTGCCTCATTGAACTCCCCCTCTTTCCTCTACCTCTCGTTCTCTTCCATGATGCCATAGGGGAACTGTCGGAACTGCCTCATTGAACTCCCCCTCTTTCCTCTMCCTCTCGTTCTCTTCCATGATGCCACAGGGGAATTGTCGAAACCGCCTCATTGAATTCCCCCTCTTTCCTCTACCTCTCATTCTCTTGGTGCCATAGGGGAATCATTGGAATCGTTGAGGTCGGATGTGTGGGCGAACTCCTTTTCGGAGATTGAAGATAACATGCATCACCGTAGACTATGTATAGGTGGAACTCGACAACAATATCATCACAATCAATGTCGAAGATCTCCCTCGTCGACTAGATTGGACCTATTCTTTCCTTGTCATGACTCTCTTCTTTCGATTCCAGATTATGTCTTTCCAGATCTGTTCCTTCTCTCTCCCTCTCGTCGTTGTTAAGATTCAGGGATGTGATTCCATTCTCTACTTCAGCATGAACTCCCTGCTTCAAATTTAGGGACAATTCTACTTTTTGGTGGTGGCACACATTAGCTTCACCACTTGCTTCAACTCGTCCTGGTCTCCGACGAAGATGAGTGGAAAGGCCTCGAGTGGTGGTTCTATTAAGGTTCAATGTGCGGCACACATTAGGGTTCTGGTTTCCATTAGCTTCATCACCTACTTCATGTTGGGAAATGGGGTCACTGTAACTTCGGAGGAGAAGCTCTGAGTCGTGTTTGAAGACACTGTCTTTAAAACGTTATTTGCCCCCATTCAGTTTCACTGAGTTTGCTATTGGGTTACAGGCAAATCCGTTCCTAGGATACAATAAAGCCTTGGGCGAGAATCTGCAACCAGTAAAGTTGAAGAATCTTCAAAGAAACCTTCTATGAGACTGTAGCAGACCGGATTGAGAGAGAGAGAGTGGATTTCAAAAATGTG